AAATGACAAGCAGATTTGAGAAATGTGTTAAGAAAAAGTTGATGAAAGCAAATAAATGCTTGTTTGCAATTCGAAAGCTGAGGAATGAAGGATACAGTCAAGACGAATTGGATCTTCTTTTTAGGTCACTGGTCCTGTCACAACTTACCTATGGCTTATCAGTTATTGCTGCATCACCACCGGAATTAACAACTATTCAAAACTTCTTAACTCGTTAATTGTTATAAAAGAAGAATACACATCAGAACAAATAGATATTAATATACTGTTAGAGCAGACAGATAGAAAGCTGTTGAAACCAAATCAAATCAAATCTTTATTTATTTATTTACCACAAATTTACGAATACACACTATTACATTATATAAAATACATAAATACGTGGCAAGGAAACCTCTAGAAGCCGGAAGCTTTTAAATGAGGTCATCTCGTAGGTGAATGACACTACATTGTATTGGTTATTTTGTAACACACAAATAAGTCAGTAGAAAATTATAGAGGCATGAATAAATTCAGACTCGTTTATTTGTTTAGTAGGAAACAATTAAGAATTTTTTTAAATGAATGTAAACTATTGGAGCTTTTTATTGAAAAAGGTAATAAATTCCAAATTTTAGGGCCTTGATAAAGAATCGTGAATTGTTTTATGTTTGTGCGGCAATGGTGAGGTCGATAAGAGTTTGCGTTTCTAGTATAGTAATCACGAACTTGGTTATTTGTTACGAATAAATTTGATATAGAGATACTGATAGTAACCGATGAAGATAGAGAAACATAAACTTCGCAATATGATGAAAGGTGTTAACTTTAAAAATGTCTAAATCTTTCAATTGTTCAAATAGCGGGGCAGAATGAGCTCGGTACTCTAAATTTGTCATAACACGTACTGCTCGTTTTTGAAGTAGCCAGATCCGATTCAAACTAGTTGCATAAGTAGACGACCAAACTATATTACAATAGTTAATATAAGAATAAATTAACGTATAATATAATGAAAGTTTTGTTCTAGTAGACAAGACAAAACGTGATCTAGAGATGATTCCAATAGACTTAGAAATTTTGTTGCATATATGATCAATGTGATATTTCCAGTAAATATTCTCATTGATAAAAATGCCTAAAAATTTAACAACGTTAACTCTCTTCAGCGGCTTTGTGTCGAATAAAACTGGCAAGTTCATCGAGATTGACTTTTGTTTTGGTCGGAAAATAATGTAGCTTGTTTTACTAATATTGACAGAAAGTTTGTTAGTTTTCATCCAAATATTTATTTTTTCTTGTTCAGCATTCATCGTAGAAATTAAATAATCTTGGTCCGTGTGGCTTAAGAAAATGCTGGCATCATCTGCAAAAAGCAAACACTCTGCCAACTCTGTAGTATTAGCGAGATCATTTGTATAAAGTAGGAAAAATAAGGGGCCTAATATTGAACCCTGAGGAACCCCGCACTTAATAATCCGTTCGATGGAACGGGTCTCATTGAATTGGACAAATGTTTCCTATTATAAAAAAAAAATTAAAAAAAAGCTAAATATAGCTTTTGATCCATAGCAATGCAATACCACGGATACCACAGTGTTCCAACTTAGAGAACAAAATTTGATGATCAAGGGTGTCAAATGCTTTTGACCGATCTAGGAAGATACCGACTGTGATTTCATTTTGATCAATAGATGTAGTAATTTTATTCATCAGGCATATAAGTGGAGACACTGTGGAATGGTTCTTTCGAAATCCAAATTGGAGAGGATAAAGAATTTCCAATCGATTTACGAAGTCAATAATGCGATTATGCATGACTTTTTCAAAAATTTTCGAAAAATTTGATAATAGCGAGATTGGTCTATAGTTTCTAAAATCTTCAGGATTATCAGTTTTAAATACAGGAATTACCTTAGCTATTTTTAGTAAATCGGGGTAAATGCCACTTGAAAGCGAAAGATTGATAATTTGGGTAAGAGGTTGAGCTATAAATTCAAATGATTTTTTTTATTACACTTATGGCTATATTATCAGAACCAGCTGTTTTCCTAGCCTCCTCCGCAGGCAACTCTTGTTTCCCACTCCCAAATATAGACCGACCTTTCTACCAGAAAAGAATTGAATTTATTCCACGCTTTCAATCCATATCGAAAGTTTGGCCGAGCAGAAAGAAACAGTAAGAGCTTGGCAACTAGTGAATTTGTGGGCGGGGAGGGGGCGGAGAGGAAAAGAAACGAAGGGAGTTGCCTGCCAAAACCCGATAAGTGAGGATACGACACTGTACTCTTGGGACTTCACATTGTACCCGGGGATCCCTCGGGAGACGTTTGTCACGTTGAACAATTTCTCGATTACCAAACAAAATGTCGGACGTAAAAGACAGTGAACATGAAAAGAATACAAAGCGTTTGTATGTCAAAAGCGAGATTCCCATAAGCAGCGTGGAGTATAAGAAAATATTGAGTGACGTTTCTCAAAAGCGGCAAGAAATCGAGAGGAAAGAAGCCGAAATTAAATGCTTAAAGTACGAATTGCAAAACGACTGGCATTCGTTGGCAAATGCTTCTGCAACCCGAGCAGAAACCAGTCAAATTACTACGACTGTTTCTTCCCCTGAGCCGTCAACCGCGAACAGTGCATCATCCACAAGTGGCAGGACAAAGATTGTTACACCAGGAGGGACTAAAAGAAAAGGTAATAAAACTGTAGATGAACTTTTAAACAAAGAATGATATTGTCCTCTATTTAAATATTTCATTATATTTGATGAGATGATAAACCTCATTAAGCTTCATTATCTATTGTTTGAATTGCATTCGACGCGACCGAAATTCGACGTACAAAACAGGGCTAAGTGAATTTATAATTTAATAGTTTTGCCTTTTTATATGTTATACATATAGTAATATAGGTACATATACTGATATACAATAGCTAGTTGTTATGTTTAATTGATCGACGTATTATTTAATCGAAGTGGCATTTATTTTTGGTTAACATCGTGTTTTTATTTCTTTCATGCAACCAGTCAAGCAATCATACATCAAGTTTAAAGTTGACCTTCAAGATACGTTGCGCAAATTTGTTTGCATAAAACCAGATTCTTGTCTCGCAGTGGATGACTTGATAGAGAGATTGTATGATACGTTTCCTGGGGTGAAAGGATTTGAACGCATGCACATTTTGAGGACTGTGTCATGCAAAATTACATCAGTACTGTTCTATAAAGGGGGCATTATTTATTGATTGCATGTGGTGGAAGCTGTGTTTGCATAATAAGTGGTTGCCATATTGTTGTGTATGTCAATATATGTGATTGCAATAAGTGATTACAATAGAACATATTACACAAACAGCAGTTAAATATATATTTTGTGGTTCTTCATCTAGAGTTCATCAAATGCTGGGGCATTTTGTTTACTAACATTTCTCTATGTCATTCAATTTAAAATTATGTACGTGTTATAACTTTTCCTTTGGTTATTATCAGTTTTTTCAACTCATGTTTTGTATCTTTTACATTTATTAGAGGATTTTATCGAGGACTTAGTATTTGTGAGGATACTGACCTTGATAGTACAGGTACATGTACCTTCCTTTTGTCTTGCATATGAGATATAAATTTTATCTATGAATGACTGATTTAATATTTATAATTATCTTAGGGAACAAACTTTCAGCTGGCCCTTCCAAAGTCAAACGAGGTAGATATACTTTCTGGAGAAATACATTATTTTGGTATAGTTAAAATGGATAGTAATTTGAAACAGTTCAAGTCAGGAAAACAGTATGATTGAGGTTTTACATTGTTGTTTGGTTGAATTTTGTTTGGCCTGTGATTTAAGTGAAAACAGACCATGTTTTATCATAATTGTTCATAATTACAGACTGTAATCTTCTTTTATTTTAATTGCCCTAATTAAATTTAGATTAATTTGATGTGTATATAATTGTTTTGTACTTTAGGTATTGCATTTGAGACACCTGATAATATGATGGACATGAAAATCAATGATTCATCTGTTGAAGGCAATTGTATTTGTATAGATATTAAACCCTGTATTAACCTACAAGGCCAACTTTTTCAGAGCAAGCACCAAACGTATCATTGGTTTGCCCCATCAGCATCGTGGCTTGATTAATTTGTATGCTTTAAATCAGCTATTTCTTTTCAGCTTTTGAACTATAAATTATATAATTATTTCATATATCATTTGGATAAAACTTGTCTTGATAGCAATATTATTTCAATACTTCATACAAATAATATATTATTGTTATTAAAATTAGCTAACTGTTAATTTTACAATTAGTTATTAAACTAATATGTAACAGTAAATACATTTATTGTAGATTGTATAAATTATTAATTATAAATATATAATTAGTTTACTGGTCAATGTGATCGAGAGTAATTAAATTTTCTATAATACAGCCTAGGAAATGTTGAAATCCATGTCAAAATCAGGAAATCAACTCAAAAATCAAGTGATTTCTAAATCTTGTACGCTTTGGTCGGTTGTCGCATTAAATCAGCCATTTCTTGACCCATTGAATTACCCATTACAGAGTATAATTTGCCTGCCTCGTACCCAGGCGCTTACATGAAGTATTCAGGTAGGCAGCCGACGCACAAAGGGGCTATTGGGCACTCTTCCCATCAGCCCCTTTGCCATCTCTCCCCACTACAATACTTCGTGTAAACTCGTCATATGCGCATCACTGTTTTTTTACAAAGAGACGCCTGGGTACGAGGCAGATAATTTGCCTTTAACACCAAATTATCAATGATATGTTTTACTTTTACTACTGTATTTTAAATTGAACCATGTGATGTTGGAAGCCGAGATATCAATGAAATATTTCTAGTACAATGATCTGTGTGTATCTATATATTCGATCTGAAATATCTGAGATGTAAAAATGATATTCCGATGCATGTCATTTTCGATGTGCACATCAGCTATTTATAGTTTTGTACTGTATAGGTGTTACTTTTGAGACACTTGAATGTCTTGATGATATTGAGGACTGTGATCTTAACGACATGGGCATGAAAATGAACGAATTATCTGTTGAAGGTAATTTAAATTGTATATTTATTTATAATAATCAGATGAGTATTAACCATATGGCCTAGTATGTGGCCTATATCCTGTTGGGGAGTAAAATTATCTGGTTTGAGACAGAGTCATTGAGTTAAGAGACCAGTGATTTATTACAGATGAAGGAGGCCTAGTGAAAATCAAAAATAAGATATTCAATATACCAGCATATAAATTCAATATACAGCTAATTCAAAAAAGGTTGTCCTTGAAATATCTCAAACCTTAAACTGTAAGCGCTCAAAGCTTAATGGGTAATTTATTTTTAGGGCTGTAGATTGGGAAATAATCCTAGTACAATGGTACTTCATGTAGCTGTACTTCGTAAGTGCTCATTATATTTCTTGCCATAGTTGCAATACAACATTCGCACGTTCTAGACCTTCACTAAGAAGTTACCCATCATCTATTATGTGCTTAGGATTTAAGGTTTGAGATTTTCGAAGGACAATTTTTTGTAAATAATTAATGGTAAAAAAGGTGTAATAAAGTTATTGTTGTTGTTGTTGTTGTTGTTGTTTTTAAATTGGATGTATATAGTTGGATTCGTAATTTGGATTTCTAGTTCTGTTGTCTAGTTTTTAAGAATATAATATTATCGTGAATGTAATAAAAAATATTCGTGTATTGTTTGATTTTTAAGAACGGCAAGACCCTGTCACTACAGAAATCCTTCAGGATCAGTTCCGTGCTCTTCAAGATTCTCTTTGTGTTACACATGATACTGCACGTGAGAGTATGTCCAGCAAACATCAAGACTATCATGAACTGTCAAAAAAGTTAGACTGTGTATCGGATTTGTTGGCAAAATATGAGAGATCTGCCCAGCGTACCATAAAGAAACAGGAAGAAGTTATTTCTTTATACAAAGACATTGTTGGCAGTGGTAGCCTTCTCGGTGGTTTACTTTCCTTAACAGAAAGAAAAGTAATAAATGAAGAAGTTAAGAAAGTCAAAACGATGTTCAATTTGAATATGAGAACGAATAAAGTTATAGATCTCGCCAATGTTTTCGATCCATTCCTCTTTCAAAATTTGGTCGTCCGGATAAAGGAAGAATGTCCAACAATTGCGAATATTCTGGAGCAGTTGGTTCTCTCGCCGAACGCCTCAAGAAATGTTATCAAGACGGAGGATATGAAAATGAAAGCGGCAGTTCATCAATTGGCATCGCTGATTGACGTGAGAGATCAAAACGGCAAAAACGATATACCCATTCTCTTTGGCTTGTTGTGTCTCTGCTATGGGGCTGGGTATTCGATGATAGGGCTACTCCAGCACCTCGGTTTGTCAGAATCATACCCTGTACTGTAAGTGCATATTTAAATGAGTATACGGTTGCTTAATACGACAGTATTACAATCTGTGCATATACGCTCACGATGCATGCATGTGCAGCTTTCATGATGGAACCTACGAGTTTGTCATTCACCATACTTTACACTCATGAAATCCTCACTACTATTTATAGTATTCCAATTTAGTGGATATACCAGACAAAAAAACAAAAAACAAGACAAATTTTCTGCTAAGTCTTGTTAATTATTCATAAATTATTCGTTTTTGGCGTGTTTTATTATTAATCATGATGTATTGTCTTTGATAATAAATATATCTTTCGTAGGATTCGTATTCTACAGAAGCAGCTGCAAAATTACAAGGCTATAATAAACAAAAGGGTGGAAGACAGTAAACCGGTGGTAACGTACCAAGATAACATGCAGTTGATGAGAACGTCTATGAGACATCTCCGGCTGTCGAAATTGGAGAAAGATAAAATGAAGCAAGGCAAGGTCTGGGATTTCACCGTGAGAGGTTGGCGAGAATGCGAGATAACCGGATTGGAAGATATGTTTAAGGATCGTATACTAACAACTCAGCCACAACGAGAAGTTAAAAAGGTAAAATATAAAGACACAAAAATAAGTATTTAACTAGCCTCCTCTGCAGGTAACTTTTGTTTCCCACTCCAAAATCCCAAATATATACCGACCTTTCAACCAGAAGAGATATTTTTGTCGAATTTGGAATTTGTATGACCAAATGGTTGAAAGGTTGGTATATATTTGGATTGTGTGAGTGGGAAACAAGAGTTGCCTGCGGAGGAGGCTAACATTTAACATGCAATGTGCTAGAGGTGAGCCGATCATCGGCAAAACCGGTTAATCGGCTTGTTTTTTCACAATCGGCCATCGGCCGATTGTCTTCCACCATCTCTATGGTCAGCGGTGTAATAAAAAAATGAAATTCAAATATATAGTGTGGAAACAATTATCGAAACGAAAGTGGAAACACTATGTTTACCGATTACCCGCGTTTTTTCATAGTTGTTTTATCACTTTTCTAGCATTTCTGCAAGATTTATTAATTAAATTATCGTGTTCCGTAACTTCCGTTGACCAGTCAGTAGCACGCTGTGGATTTCAGAATCAGTGTTAAAAATGTCGCTTCCTGTTTCTGCATGTTTTGAGTCTTTTGACGAGAGGATACATTAGTAAAAAAAAATAAGATGACCATCGGTTTTGCTGATTAATCGGCTGATGGTGGATAAATATCGGCTGTTAACAATCGGTATCGGTAATCGGCTTTTTTTAGACATCGGCTCACCTCTACAATGTGCCGAGTACTAGTTACTGCATGAAACATGTTCGTATAAACTTTATAATAATATATTCATTCGAAATTTCCAATTGAAGTTGAGGAAATAATAAATGCCATAGCCGTAGGTGATGGTATATTATTTCTTTTTTATAAGAACAACCCTGAACATAACGAGAAGTGGAAAGCGTTCAAAACAAGGAACATGCTAAGGAAACTTGATGTTGGACTAAACGATGTGAATGTTTCCGCTAACGAATTACGATCGGCTACGAGTGAACAGATAGAGGGGTATGCTGCTGCAGAAAACATAACGGAAAGAAAGTTTAAGTTTGAAATTCCACCAGTTCATGAAGAATTTCCAGATTTAGGAAAGAAAAAAACAAACATATACCCTTTACCAATCTCACACGAGAATCAGTGCAAGACATTAGGTGTAGCAAGTAATTTGCAACTGTTTTCCGACGAATTTCAGTTTACGTGTGAACAAGCTAAATGCTACTTGCCAAAGAGAAGCTCAGGAGACAGTTTTGATCTAGACAAATCGTACGCACGTTACGCTTTCATGAAATCATTAGAGAAACATAAAGAGCAACAAGCTAAATATGAGCAGGTACTACGACGAGAACAAGAGCCAGATTCACAATCACAAACCGGAGACAGTAACGAAGAAATTAGTCAAGAAATTAGTCACATGTTTGTGGTTGAAAGCGAAAGCTCAGATAGTGAAGCGTAACCGTACTAATCTGATTCGCAATAGTAAAATAGCAACCTTTCCTGGTCAGTATACTAAAACTGTCTGTACCAGTGTAGGTAGTACCAATGTGAAAATGCTGTGCTGAGTGGTTATATTACTACCTTAAAAAATAAGCAGAAACTCGACGTTTCGAGCGAAGGCCCTTCGTCAAGAGTTAGTAGCAGGGATCGGGGAAAATGCACGGGCTTTTATACTAAGAGTATGAAAGCATCACGTGACAAAAAATAAACCAATTAGATGGATTTAATAATAACAATGTGTAAACAAAATATGTAATTCCTGGTCAGTGTGCTTATGAGTGGAATTGGTCCCCTTGCACTTATAGCATTTTAAAAGTTTTTAGGGGATGAATGACGGGCTCGTAAGCATACTCTCTAGCCTTGGTCGCATTTACACCTAACAATCTAAAATCAGAGTACTCTGATCTGATCTCCATATGTGTTTAATCGGTGTCCTAGGCCTGGGGGTATTTTCTTGAAAGGGACCTTTATATAAGGGGTCCGGGGGTACCC